ACCGTAAGCCTCCCTTAATTGTGCAGAAGTGCTCTTCGCCTTCAGCAGGCAAAGGACAAGCCGAACGGTCTGGAAAACTTCAAGAACAAAAGCCGGTTTTAGCCTTGGGCTTCTTTTATTATTCCTCGTGTTTCTCTGGGCATATTTGAAAATCCATTCTTCACAAGCGTAAGGAGACGGGTAGTTCAATGAAAATAGGAAAGGATACCTTGAGAAAAGCAGTCAGAATCGTAGGAGAGTAAGTCGAGAGCTCCTCTACTCCAGGCCCCTGCCTGAAGCAGGACCGGCCCTCTCCAAACCATGCACATGCTTGTTTAACCTCTTAGTTCAACTAGGCAGTCAACCCCGCCTCACACCCGCAAGGCACAGGACCCCAACCTGCCACAGGTAAAGCATCAAGGCAACTGCGGCCAGCGTTCGGCTGCTTAAAGGGTCGCTAAAATACGCTCGGGAGATCCAAGGAAGAGGGCCGTGGTCCTCTGCTAGAGGAAGGCTAACCTCCCAGTCCCACTGAAGCCGTGTAGCGCGAAGAGAGGCGTGCAGGGGGAATGGCGACACTAACCCGACTATTTAACCGGCCCGTTGGGAGGAGGGAGCCCCGCGTTTGGTCTCGGCTCCCAGGCAGGACCGTTCGTCGTCAAATGCAAAAAAGGATGAAATCAAAATAGGATTTGGCATTTTTAATTTAGGTTTGTTTTATTTAAGTTTAATGTTAATTCCATGCTGTGTTTCAGTAAGAACAATACAGATTCTGTATCTGTGGCTCCAGTCAGATATCCAGTAGTACAAATTAGCTTCAAGTTACACATACTGAACAAAAGAGGTTGAGCGAGCGAGAGGAGGAGGGGAAGGGGAAGGGAGAAAAAAAAATATTGAACACGCATGCAGGCTTTCAATGCCACCTTCAACGCTAACCTGCTTGGAGGAGAAGTAGAAAGTAGGCAAGAATGAACAGCTACGGATTATTGAACTGTTACCAGCACCGTATTTTTTTCAGCAACATTTCAGCAGTTTGGAAACTTTTTACAGCAAAACCACTATAATAAACGTTCCAAGAAAACCTGTAACTTCAATCTAAGTTAAACTCCAAATTAAGTTAAACATTGGTATAAAATTCCGTTTGAACAATTATAAAAAAGAAAAATACCACCACGTGCACCCTACAGTGCAGGAAATCTCTTCCTTAAAAGTCTGATGGCTTTCAGATGTAACATTCATTTCTAACGGTTATCTTGCCACGCCTGGCAGAAGACAATACAGTAATGCCGAACGAGCCGTTACGCAGTCCTGTTAGTGTCTTAAGGAATCTAAGAAGCTGGCACCAGTCAAATCCACAGAAAGTCACTCTTGCCTTTTAAGAACTTTTGAACGGTGTTTAAAAAAACCCCAAAACAAAACAAAAAGAAACCCAACAGGGCAGGAACCTAAATTCTGAGACCCAATGTAAAAGTCAGATTTGGTGGTTCTCAGAGTGACACTGAGGGATTTGTGGGGGAAGGTAAGGGTGGTCAGAGATGGGTTCTCTTGTTGGCCTCGATGTCTCACTGGTTTTCATCTTCCACATCCTGCAGCGCTTCTTTATTCTGTTCTTCACCTACAAAGAGGCAAGCACGTGAGTAAGTCATGGCATACAGCAGAGGGTGGGAGTGGGAAGACCGCGAGGGAACCCGCTGGTACGTCATCCTTTCTAAACGCAAGATACTCGTGTAGCAACTTCCCTCGTCTCAACACTGATTTGACGCTGTTTACGTTAGAACTTCTTAACTGTGTGCGGCTCTTGATGTTACGTCCTTGTATGGAAATACTCGTCGTCTACACCTTCCATTTCAGCCATGTCCTGTGGCTATGACTAATGTGTGCATCCCTCGAGTCAATTATGTTCTTAGCACAGAGAGCACAACCACTTACACGTGGCATTTAAATCAAACGGTACACGCCAAATCGGGTCTCTCAAGAGGTGTACAGCCCAGACAAGTTACCAGTATGGCTGGAGATCAACACAGCCTACACTTCAACTCACAAGCCAGAAAAGTATTTCCTTAATAACCTCAATCCACTTGTAAAAAAGGAACCAAGAAGGGCCGCGGGGAGGAGGGCGACTACTCCAAGTGCCCGCACACCCAGGACACCACCTGTGTGCTCTACGCTGCCCTGCCGGCGAGCGGGCACTGCGCCCGGGAGCTCACAAGCCTGCTTGTCCCCAGGGCAAAGGAGAAGCCTGAGCACGTTCCCCGACGGGCAGGGGGGACGGTCGTTGGAGCGGGCATTGCAGCGTCTGTCCGTGGAGCTGGGCCGTGCCTGCCACAACTCAAGGGGATGGGCACGCACCATGGCTCTTGGGCTCACGCTGACTGCTTATGCGTCACCGTGCTAGTCACCCCCCGCTTCTGCTCCACAGGTTCCCTCCAGCGCCCCGAGTCTGGCTCACCAGCTGCCCGCGGACATAGCCAAAACTGCCAGCTCTCCGACATGATGGATGTCACCTACATGGCCCACGCAAGTGAGCAATTCATTGGCTAGGCTGACGGCACAAGGCAGGTGATGCCCCGTCCTGTGCCCCCGCCGCGGTGCAGTCCTGAGGGGTGCACAGGAGGGGGAGGGGAAGGGGGCCCATCCCGCGCTCAGATGGCGGGCTACAGCCTCCGCAGCAATGCCCAACACAGGGCTGCAGGAGGGGCCCTCGCATCGCTCCTGTGGGGCTGGGACCTGGGCAGAGCAGGGACTGGGCCGGGGCAGGAGCAGTGCAGGGCAGGACTGAGGTCTCTTCCGAGGGGAGAGCAGTGCTGGCCGCAGGTCCCCAGGAGCAGAGGGCTGGGACTGCGGGGCATTGCCAGAATGGGGTCTTTGTGCAGGAGGAGTCCAGGGCTGGAGCAGCGCGGGTCTCTGCTGGGTACAAGCGGGGGCTCCGCCAGGGGCGAGGGGCACCCAGTGCTGGGGGGGGCTGAAGGGTAGGATAGCACTTGTTGGGGGGTTTCCCCCACTCCGCTTCCCCGCCTGGAGCCAGCTTGAAGGACAGGAGGGACGGCCACACTGAGAAGTTTTCTTGCGGGGATTCAACCAAGTATTTGAATACTCAGCACGCGTGCACAACATACGCGTTATGTCTGCCAAGCTGAGGACATTGCTGTGTACGCAGAAGCGAACGTAATGGTAGGGAACGAGTTACACCGCTGCCCCCTCGCTACAGCGAGGAGCAGGATCCCTGCGGCGGTTATGGTGCGTATTGCGCACGCGCGCCGGCGCCCCGCCCCCTTCTTATGTGTGTCACACCCGGGACAGTGCCGAGTTCTTGGACGTCAGTCTCGGAGCGGCACGTGCTCCGCGCCGCGGGCCCGCAGCTGGGCGCCAGAGCCGACGGGAAGTCTCGCACCGCTCGCCCCCGACAGCGGGCTTCCATGTCGTTTTCTCTTTAAAATAGAGAAAATCAGCGCACGTCTTGTTAGCAGCGATTCGCCTCCCCTCCCCCGGCCCCGCCGGCGGAACGGGCTCGTGGGGATCGGAGTCGGACCAATGGGCACGCGGACAGTGACACTCTCACCAATCCCAAACTCCAACTAGACCGCGGAGAAGGCGGGAGACCACCTGGGCCCGCCTCCTCCGGCAGAGACCAATCAGAGCGAAGAAGGGCGGAGCGGCTCTGACCGCTCCCATGCGGCCACTCCACCCAATCGCCTCACGCCTCGCTGTAGCCAATGGAAACGCGAGGCTCCGATCCCGGCCCTCCCGCGCCCCCC